TCGGTAATCGTTATAGGTTACCAATTCACTGAAGTTTATATAGTTTATAACTATACTGTTTAATATATTGTGTTATTGTTTTGCTGTAACTTATCGTTAATCTTACCCTTTGGCGTTTATTGTTATTAGTCGTCAGAATAAACAACATAAATATCACCCCTACTTAAGATTTTCCACAAAATGTCAGATTCCGATAACAGTTCAAGCATGTATCATGTAACATTATATATATGAAATTGATATACTTTTTCACTTTATAGATATCAACAAGAAGAGCAAATCACACACACAAACACACACACACACACGCGCGCGGGCGCGAGCGCACATAACATAACAATAAAGAATACAATAATGCCAACATAGGATATATCAAAACCTTTCTATAATGTGAAGACTACAGCTGTTTCCATAAAAGGTCTGGTTTATTGGAAACAGCAATAATTATAAACAGAAAAAATGTAAAAAATTTCTGAAGCCAACAAATCATAATGAATGTAATATCAAATATCAAATCCTGCTTTGCAGTGTTAATTGACTAAAATATGCAAAGAAATTACAAGCAACAGGAACCAGCTAATCTAAATCAGAGTGAACAATCTTTCTATGAAATAGAGGCAATGAATAGCAAAGTGAAAGTAACGAAAAATATCAAAAAAGCAATTTGGCTTCCCCCTACGACACTGCGTTTGACTTCTTAAGGCAATATGTCGTTTTCTCGCCGTGAGATCGGCCTCGAGCCAGCAGACAGCGCGCAGACAATGTATGTATATATACATACATACATACATATATATATATATATATATATATATATGTATATATATATATATATATATACTATATATATATATATATATATATATATATAATATATGTATATCATATATATATATAACATACTATACTATACTATACATATATATATATCTATATATATATATATATATATTATATATCTATAGATAGCTAGAATAGATAGATAGTAGATAGATAGATAGATATATAGATAGATGATAGATATATAGATAGATAGATTAGATAGATAGATCTACAATATACCAGATATATATAATATATATATATATATATATATATATTATATATATTCATATATATCACAAAATATTATATATTATAGTATATATATAATATATACATATATATATATATATATATATATATACTATATATATATATATATATATATATATATATATATATATATATATCCTATTATATATATATATATGATATTATATATATATATATATATATATATATATATATATATATATATATATATATATATATATATATATATATATATATATACATATATGCATATATATATATATATATATATATATATATATATATATATATATATATATATATATATTATATAAACACACTGCAAGTAGAACAACGAAGGAAAGTATAGGAAAACTCACGAAAACACACACTGCTTCATCTGGGCCCTGATGAACGGCAAGAGGATACATATATGAGAGAGAAATAGATAGATAGATAGGTAGACAGACAGATAGATAGATATTGATATAGCTAGATATATGTAGTTTCTATCTATCTATATATGTCTTCCAACGGCAAGAGGATAATGACTAGCTGGAAATGCGAAGCTGATTCTCGTCCCGGATATGCCTAAATGAGCCAAAGGGAATTGTACTTGAGCGTGGCGGGCCAATAGGCACTAGCGACCATTCTTTTATAGCGATGAGATTTGTAATAGCTACTCAAGTGAAAATATAAGTTGGACCCACGGGAGGGCAGCTGAAATTCAAATCAGTTCCGTCCTCAGGTGCTGTTTCGTCTTTAGTATATAAAATATCATGGCAGTAACGAAAAAGAATAATGGTCGTAAATCCCGCCAGCAGTGACGACGGGGATATTGACGACTTACAGGCTGGTCATTGCAGATTTGTAGGTTAAAAGAAGCGCCCCCGGGTGGGCTCGAACCACCAACCTTTCGGTTAACAGCCGAACGCGCTAACCGATTGTGCCACGGAGGCCACAATAACATTTCAAAAATCAGTCCAAGAAAATCTTAACCAGTTATGTAATGTAATATGAAGCCTAATCGGATTTTTTGCAAGTAATTGTGTGCATGTCTGAAAGTTTTTTTTTTTCCTATTCCTACCATTTATTATTCAGTTGTTTCCTTTAAGGTAAGAAATTATCGGTGCGAGATCCAGACGTTTGCTCGGCAGCACCCTGAAAGTGGGATGGAGGAAACGGAACATACGAGTTGAAGATTTTGCAGGCTAGGCGGGGTTAGGGGGTGGTAATCCCAACTAAAAGGGGGCCTAGGGGGCGAAGCCCCTATTTTCTATAAAAGTCTTACTTCGACCATTCGTTTTTACCCTGCAATTTCCCTTCCCATCTCTTCCTAGCTGTCATAACCAGAAATATGTGACATACCATATTAGTACAGATTCCTTCAAAAAATCATAATTTCCACATACCAGTCATGACTGGAGCAGACTCCCGCAATATATAATACACACAGACTAAACAGACAACTTCCACAAACTTACACAGGCACGCCTCAGAACACGTACATAAAAGACCTAACCACTCTGGCCCCCTTTTTACCCCCAACAGCCAACGCCCATATATATGAGCTACCGCTCAGCGGCCTACGCTTGAATCCTCGAGAGTGAAATTCATAAATTTAAGTCTACCCTTTATAAAGTGCGCTTCTTGTTAGAGAAAACGTTACATGTGTTATATTTTATGGTAAACTAAGCTAAAAGAACACATGGCAAAACACATTCCATGTCATCTGTGACTTTATTTTATCAACTGTTTTTACACATAGATGGCACAACAACCACGTAGTCACTAAAGAAGCAATTAAAAGCCCTTCTCACATATATACCATTCTTCTTGGTCAGACTGGAAAGTTTGCTATCTTCGCGGGCAAGTCTCCCAATAATTTCTAGAACTGTGCGGTTAGTGGCTGATTTACAAAAGAAAAAACGTTTACTCTCACGTGCCTAATAGTTGTTGGGGGTTGGATCTCCCTTACAATCTACTTGGCTTATTTAGTTCATGCTAATTCATGCTATTTCCCGTGCCGACCGCTATCTCACAGCGAACTCTTAATATGTCATCTGACAAATCAAGACGATGGTTTTGCGCGGTTAGAGTGGTTTTGGTCCTTTTGCATGGCCACCGTGACAAAGAATAAAATTTGCGCGGTCAATTTGCAAAAGTACTCAGTTAGCTGCGCGAGCAAGTTATTGCGCGCGCTTAGCAAAGTATCCAGTCTGGCTTCTTGATTTCCGGATTTTTTTTTGTTATTGGTACTTTGATAGCATAAAGATGACGATAATTTACATGATAATTATTGACTTTAATTGAATTTTAAGAATCCAGAAAACTCAGGTGAGTAGTTGTCTGTTATCATAATTACGAGGGTATCAAATTCCTGATCCTGTCATCATCATCATATTCATTGACATTATTATTTGTTATAACTGCCGTCATTATTACTATTATTACTTTGTTCTCATGTCTACTAATACCATTATATCACTGCTAATACAGTTACAAGTACTATTGCTACTTATTATCATTTCAATTAACCTATTCCTACTATTAGCATTTCCATTATTACATTACTATTTAAAATTTCTTCATCATCATAATCATTATCATAACTGCTTTTTATTATCAGTACCAGTGTTACTATGTGTACTTGTAATAATTTTAGAAGCAAGAAGGGGCAATTTATTAATAACTGTACTTTGCATTGATCATTCATTGACTTTAACTGCAATCTACAACTTAAATGTTTTTCAAAATGGAATATGCAGATGTAGATGCTTACAATCCAAGAACAAAATTTCCCACATACATTGTAAATACGCTTACAGTAATCTCGGACTGGCTATTTTTTCCCAATTTCCTTACTGCACTCTTCCTTCTTCCTCTCCGTCCTTTCTTCCCTTCCTTCCAGCCAGCTCCACGCCCTGCGCTCGAAGAGGATGAACACAAGTGCACATGTACGCCGTCGAGGGCCTGCTTAGGCCAAAGGGCGAAGGGGGCGAGGCAAATGCAGTATTTTGCCACTTGTTATATTTCCTTAGGGAGACGCGGATGGCTCATGCACGTTTTCACGTACACGCGCAAATCAATATGCATATGCTGACTTTCATACATTCCTAAGTACATAGATGAATAAGTAAACATATAGGTAAATAAATAACTGTGCACACACACACACACACACACACACACACACACACACACACACACACACACACACACACACACATACACACACACACACACACACACACACACACACACACACACACACACATATATATATATATATATATATATATATATATATATATATATATATATATACATACATACATATAAATACATATATATATATATATATATATATATATATATATATATATATATATATATATACATACATACATATAAATACATATATATATATATATATATATATATATATATATATATATATATATATATATATATATATATATATATATATGTATGTATGTATGTATATATATACATATATATACATACACACAAACACACACACACACACACACACACACACACACACACACACACACACACACACACACACACACATATATATATATATATATATATATATATATATATATATATATATATATATATATATGTGTGTGGTGTGTGTGTGTGTGTGTGTGTGTGTTTGTGTGTGTGTGTGTGTTTGTGTGTGTTTGTGTGTGTGTGTGTGTATGTGTGTGTATGTGTGTGTGTGTGTGTGTGTGTGTGTGTGTGTGTGTGTGTGTGTGTGTGTGTGTGTGT